AGGAATGGGTATTGTATTTTGTCAAAGGCTTTTTCTGTATCAACTGAGATAATGATATGATTTCTGTTCTTTTTGTTGTTGATATGGTCAATTATGCTGATAGTTTTCCTAATATTGAATCAGCCCTAAATTTCTGGTATAAATCCCACATGGTCATAGTGTGTGATCTTTGTGATATATTACTGTAACTTCCTTGCTGGTATTTTACTTAATTTTTTTTGCATCAATAGTTATTAAAGAAATTGGTCTATAGTTTTCCTTCTCTATTTTTGTTCTTCCTTATTTAGGTATCAAAACCATATTTGCGTCATAAAAGAGAAAGAAAACTATAGACCAATTCTGTTAATGAATATTGATTCAGAATTTTTAAATAAAACATAATTGTGCCTCTTTTACAGTTTGGCCAATTCTGTTTTTAAGGTGTTATTTTCTTTGGGTATTTTTGTGCTTCTTTTACCAAGCTACTGACTTTCTTTTCACAATTTTTTTGCATCACTTTCATTTTATTTTCCCAATTTTTTTCTCTACCTCTCTTATTTATTTTCTAAAATATTTTAAAATTTCTTCCAGGAATTCTTGTTGGGCTTATGTAAAATTCACATTTTAGCCTTTGAGGTTTTGCTTGTAACTGTTTTGACATCATTGTTTTCTTCTGAGTTTGTGTCTTGATCTTCTCTGTCTTCCCTGATCTTCTCTTCCCTGTGGGCAGCAGTTCATAGTCAAGTTCTTTTTTTTGTTGTTTGCTCATTTTTCCAGCCTATTTCTTGACATATAACTTTATGTTAAAGTTGGGTTCTGCTCCCTTGAGGAGGGCTGGGGCACTGGCCCAAGCTTCAGGTTTTTTGTGCTGCTGTTTTCAGAGCTAGTTTTGGAAGGTTTTAAGTTTTTGGTGCTTTCAAGGTGCTATGATCCAAGAAGAGAGGTGGTCATTGCTCTCCTGGCCTATGCTCTGGCCTTTACCCAGGAAGGGACCTTTATGCCCTGTAACCACAAGTGCTAGCACTCCTCTTGGCCCCAGAACTGTGACCAGGTTCCCTGCTCTCCTGCAGCCATAAGTGCTAGTGCTCCTTTCTGCCTTAGAACTGAGGCCAAGTTGCCTACTCCCTTGTGTGTGACCTCAAGCACTCTTCTCCACCCTGGATCTGTGACCAGAGCCCCCAGTCCCCTGCAGTCACAAGTATTAATGCTCCTCCTGGCCCTGGAACTGTAACCAGGACCCCTGCTCCCCCGTGGCCACGAGTGCTAGTGCTCCTTTCTGCCTTAGAACTGGGGCCAAGTCGCCTACTCCCTTGTGTGTGACCTCAAGCACTCTTCTCCACCCTGGATCTGTGACCAGAGCCCCCAGTCCCCTGCAGCCACAAGTATTAATGCTCCTCCTGGCCCTGGAACTGTAACCAGGACCCCTGCTCCCCCGTGGCCACAAGTGCTAGTGTTTCTTTTTGCTCTGGAACAGCAACTCAGAGGTACCTATGGGCAATGCAGGAGGGCGTCATACCCAGTGCCAGAAAAAAGTCCCCTGTGCTCCCTTTCTGACCGGTTGTCCTATCCCCTTACTGTCTCTGGGATAAGAGCTGTGAAGCTGCTCCTGCCACTGTAAGGGGCACCTCCCACATCTGCTGCTGATGTTGCTGCCATGCATACTGTGGACATCTCCTGCCAACCCTCTAAATTATCTTGGGCTGGAAAAATGTCTCATCCTGACCCTTTGTTGGCTCTTTTTTAAAGTTGTTCAGAGGGGAATGTTGGGAAAGTTCAGCAGAACCTCTACTCTGCCATCTTGGCTCCACCTCTCTCTTTTTTAAACTACTCAGGAACAGCATGTGTGGTTCCATGTTCTCCTCAAATTCCACAGGGCCCTCTGCCTCATCAAATATTAGATCATTTTCCTTTATTTTACAGTATTTATTATATATGCCTGAAGTCATTTACTAGATCTGGATGCCATATTTCCTTCTGTTATTTTCCTGTTGATGAATCTATTTACATTCAAGGTCTTTGAGTTTTATTCTTCTGAAATCTTTGGTACTTTTAATCTCTCTGCCAACACCTCTCCCTCCCCCCATTTTCCTTATCACTCACTATCTGACTCTATCCCCTCTAACTGTGGTTTCCTTGTGGACTGGATCTCAAAGCATCTCAGCCTCCTTCCACACTTTCACACTTCATGGTTCACTTGCTTAGGTCTTTGTCCCAGCCGAATTCTGGGTAGTCAGAACCGGCCCCAGCTAGATGCTGTGTTCTTCCTCTCAGACTCGGTGGAGTCCTGCACAGCTCCCCACACAAACAATGCAAGAAAACTGCCCTGAACATCTGAACACAGAAAACAAGGTACCAATCAAAATAATCCATAGATTTTCTCCAGAGGAAAAAAAGTAAGGCTGCAAACTCTAAGATACTTAGTGGTTAAACTGGACAGTTCCACTGAGAAACAACAAATTCTGCAAGTGTTCAAAAGAAAGACCAAGAAGAGGACCAAGGACATCAGGAGGGTGATGTCTTGACTTGCAAGTCAATTGGATTTAAGTAAGGCAGGGCTGTGCAAAGTCATCAGCCTCACTCTCTCCTCCAGAGTCATCAGAGTGCAGTGGGAAGACTTATGTAGATCAAGACAACTGGATATGGCCCCAGATGTGGTGGGAGGCCTTGACCTTTTTAAGCTAAGGTGTTTCCTAGGGCTCATTTTGATGGACATTTAATAAAGAAGCATTAGAAACATTAGAAAGAAAATGAAACCTGAAGAAACTATTTGCTTCTCAAATATCCTAAGACAACAGAAATGCAGGAGGGGGAATGCAATAGCCAAAGGACAAGAGCCAAAGCAACAGAGTGATAGCAATGAGACCAGTGAGAAACTTTTTCCTAAAAATACACAAGGAGACAGGGGTAGAAATGAAAATCAATTGGAGTTGACAGTGAAGAGGCACGCCTGGGGCACTGTGGACAGAATCTCAAGGGAAACCACCTGGAGATAAGTCAGTGTTTTTTTGTGAGACTAATTTATAAAATGGGAGGGTACATGGGAGAGGTGGGGAGGACGAGGAGTAATTTCTCTGGTCTCCCAGGAAAAGAAGAGCCTATAGGAGAGTGGGTGAGTTGGGGGAGGGGAGAGATTGAAAAGGGTGAGGAATGGGAAGGCCTTGTTTTGGAGGTTGGAAGGGATGCTACTGATGAATGCTCTTATGGGCGAAGAGAGATGTTCTGTGTAGGGAGACAAGGACCTTGTGTCAGGTATTGTCAGTGAGGATGGATTTGGGGCTAGAAGAGATAACTTATCCTGGGCTGGGGGTAGGTTGGGGAGGGGACACAACCTCTCTGGCAATTGAAGTCTGGGGGAATGGGAGGATGTAGATCAAGGGAGGATTGGGAAGGAAGGTAACCAGAGCAGGTTATAGGTCTGTTGTGAGCTGCATAATCATGGATGTGGGGTGGGGGGAGAGGTCCTGTCATAGGAAAGTGTCCTCTCTATCATCTCTAGAAATTGCCATTATTCTGGGAGTGAGTCATAATGGAAAAGGGGCAGCCATGGGAAAAGGTCCACAAGGCAGGAGCAGAAATTACTTAGAGGAGAGACCCCAGAATGGATACCTCAGAAGTTTTGATTGCTTGAGGAGTTTGGAGAATAGAGAGTAACTAGGTAAGTACAGGGGACATGAATAAGAGAATGAGGGTGTGGAATAGACAGAAAGGAAGGATATAGAGTAAGGAAAGTATATGTATGCATATGCTTAGCATATACACATACAGATACATACATATGTATATGTAGGTATGTGTGTATGTATATGTGCATGTATATTCACACACATGTAACTGGAGTAGTGTTTTGGTCAGGGAAGTCACTGGTTTAGTGAGTGGAACCACAGGGCAATTGAGTAACACTCTCTTTCCAGGAACAGCAGTCTTAACTGATTATTGTTCTGGAAGCTGGAGGTGGAAAGGGACCAGTATTTGTGGCTGAATGCCACAAAAATGGCCTAGGAACAACGGTGAAGGTCTGGATCTAACTAGAAAGTCTCATCAGTTAGAAGCCCAGGGAACTAGAGTGGAAAATAAAGTCCCCAGTTGGATGGGGGTGAAGGTTGGAACCCACATTGAGAACACAACTAGGGAAACGGCTGTAATGTATGGATGGCTCTATTTTAGGTGCTCAGAGAGGAATTTGGAAGGACTTAATTTCTAACTCTTGACTGAGTGCAGGATATTTGCAGTTGCAGGATAGGTGACCTCTATATACATGAGGTATTATTGTGCCAATCTCTATACCAAGGCTATTGGAGATGAGGTACCAGTAAGAAGCAGGAATATAAAGGGAGGGTTCCCTTCCTTCTTACTACTACTTATGTGACTCTGGAACCTCTGCCTGCCTCAGTTTCCCCGACTGTAAAGTGGGAACAATAATAGCACGGGCCTCCAAGGGTGCTTGTGAGGATCAAATAAGACGTTTGCTATAGATGCTAGTTTCCCTCCCTTTTCTCCTTTCTCCCTCCTTTGCTCCTTGTCTCCTTCTTCCCTCTCTTCCCTCTTGCAACTCTAAATGCAATGATATTGTTGATATAATATAGAGTGCCAGACCTGAGATATTAGAACATAGTGTAACAAGAGCTACAGTAGTATGGCCTACAACAATGAAATCACAGGTCCAGTACCTGTCCCTACTGTAACACTGAAGGGTTAAGTGATTTGCTCAGGGTTGCACGGTCAGGATGAGTCAGCCAGCACTTGAACCCAAGTCTCCCTGACTCAGTGGCAAGCTGCTGTCTATTAGGCCACTCTTCCCCCGCCAACTACAACGTTATGTCCCAACAATTACAAAAGAATATTGGCGCAAGAAGCACACTATCAGGGACCAAGGAAAGAAGAAGAAACAAGGGGAGCCGGAAATTGGAACCGTAACTTCCTCCTCGGTAAGGAAGAGCCGAGAGCCCGAGAACCAATGAGCTCGGCGTCCTGCTAAGGCCCGCCCCTCCCCTTCCCCCCCTTCTCGCCGGAAGTGCTGCTCCTGCTCCTGAGGTCCCGCCCCGGCTCCGGAAGTGCTCCCCAGGGAAAGATGGCGGCTGTCTCCGTGTGCCAGGCTCCGGTCGGCGGTTTCTCTTTCGATAACTGCCGCAGGTGCGGAGAGGGATTGGGCTAGGACCGCGGCTGGGACCGGGAGGCGGAGCCGGATGCGCTGCGGGTGGGCCGGGAACGAGGCTCGGGTCGGGGCGGGGGAGGGACGGAGGAGGGTTGGCGGGTGCGGCCCAGGGGCGCTCGTGACTCAGGAATTCGGGATCGGGAGCGCGGGGCCCGCGGTGGCTGTGGGAGGACCCTGTGGTCCCCTGCTCTGCTCCCCTACCCTGCCCCCTTACTCTGCTCTGTGTTAATGTCGGGGTCTTGGGAGGGGGGTTCTTGTCTGTGAATGAGTTAACAGTGACCAAGCACCTGCTGTGGGCCAGGCACTGTACCGTGCGCTGGGAATACAAAGAAAGGCAAAAGCCCGGCTCTGCCCTCAGGGAGCTCCCGGTCCTATGGAGGAGACAGCCTACAAACAATTATGTACAAACCTGCTTCGTAGAGGATGAATTGAAGATGATAGAGGAAAGGCAATAGAATAAGGGGGTATCAGGAAAGGCTTCCTATAGAAAGTGAGATTTTAGTAGACACTTGAAGGAAGTAAGGGAATCCTGGAGGCAGAGATGAAGAGGGAGAACATTCCAGCCGAGAAAATGCCCGGAGTTGAGAGATGTAGCCTCTTGTGGGTGGTGTAGGAAAAGTGCAAAGGTGTTATGAAGGGATTTGAATTACAGAGGATTTTATATTTGAACCTGGAAGTGATAGAGCCAATGGAGTTTATGGGTGTGTGTGTGTGTGTGTGTGTGTGTGTGTGTGTGTGTGTGTGTGTGTGTGTGTGTGAGAGAGAGAGAGAGAGAGAGAGAGAGAGAGAGAGAGAGAGAGAAAGAAATGGTCAGACTTGCTTTAGGAAGGTCACTTTTGACAGCCGAATGGGGATGGACAGGAGTGAGAGAGACTTGTGTCAGGCCGACCCACCAGCAGGCTATTAAAATAGTCCAGGCGTGAAGACGTGAGGGTTAGTACCAGTTTGGTGGCAGTATCAGAGGAGAAAAGGGGTGGGGCGTGTGTATTTGAGAGATGTTAAATCGACATTTCTTGGCAAACATTAGATTAGGAGGAGGGAGGGTTGGTGAGAGTGAGGAGTGGAATATGATCCTTAGATTTTGAGCCTTTTGGCAGTAATAGAGAAATTAGAAAGAGGGGAGGGTTTGGGGAGAAAGATAATGAGCTCAGTTTTGGATGTCTAAGTGTTGGACATGTGTATTTATGTAGAAGCTTGTCTCTCTATTTTCCCCTCAAAGGATCCTATACTGTAGAGCTAAAAGGGACCCCAGACACTTTCTAGTACAACTCCCTCTTTTTTATTGATAAGGAAGCTGAGGCCCAGAGAAGTGCAGTGACTTGCCCAAGGGTTGGAATATAGTAAGCATCAGAGGTAACACTTAAACCCAGGAGACAGTGCTCTCTTCCCTACTGTACTATTCTTCCTTGTTCTCTATCATGTCTTCCTTTTTTTTCTTCATATCTTCCCATCTCCTTTTGTCTCTTTTGATCATCATTCTCTTCCCCATTTCTTCCCTTTCTCTTCACTGATCTGCTGCCTCTCAAATGTTCTCATCAGCATTAAATTTTTTGCTCACGTATTTTTGTTCTCGTTTTTGTTTTGCTGATGATTTTTTGTTTTATATCATATTAATTTCCAGGTATGTCTTTCCCTCTAAAGAAGTTTAAAAAGAAAAAAACAGTTCAGCAAAAATAAATGATGCACCTACCAATTCTGATAACATATTTAACATTTCATACCCTAAGTCTCTCACTTCTTCAATGAAAGTGAGCTTCATTTTTCAACTCTTCTTAGTTGCAAGCTTGGTCATCATAATTACACAGCATTCAGTTTACTTAAAAATTTATTTTCCATTTATAGTGTAGTTGTTGTGAATGTTGTTTTGCCAGTTTCTTATTTCTTATAGTGCATCAAAATTTCATTACATATTTAAATAATACCTTCTTGGGCCTTAATATGTAGAAAAAGCATCCCCTACTCATCTTTGACTTGTAAAATCCCTCTCAACTAGGACCTCTTGTTTACTTTTCTGGATACAGTTTGCTTATTCTCCCTTCCTGCTAGGCTCCTTTAGGCAGGGGCTAGTTTCTTTGGCCTTTGAGTCCCCACTGCAGAGTATGGAGCTTTAATGTCTTTGATAAATATTTGATTAATTAAATTGAATCCTCTTTTCATTCTGTTCTTACCTTCTCCTCTTCCTTTTCCATTTTCTCCCTTTCTTATGTGCTAGGATCACTTTTCTAGAAGGTGTGCCCCCATCCTGTTCTGAAGCATGATGATAAGTATCTCCAGCCATCTTCTTTCTCTTTATGTAGAACAGAAGTGACTTTATCTAGTCCAACCCTATGTTGATATGTGGGGAATTTACCTGTTGTCTCACCGTTTTTTAGGCACAGACCCCAATGGTTCAATTCTGAGAATCTGGAGAGCTGGACTGTACCAAAATATTATATGTCATGGGCAAGAGTTGAATACAATTTTACCTCTTAAAAGAACAATTAAATAACTGTTATTCTGGTTCTAAACCCACTAATATAGTATCTTACTTCAATCCACTTTGGAGAAGAAATCTTTCTTAACTATACTTATAAACCTTGGAGATTGCATTAGCAGTATGTCCATTTATAAGGAGTGGTTTTAAAAAGAAGTAAATGTGGAATAGTGAATAAAGAGCTGGCCTTGGAACCAAGAAGACCTGTGTTCTAGTCTCCTTTCTGATATACTGTCCTTTTGGCCCAGGCCAAGCCACTTAACCTTTTGATGATGGAGATGACTCCTTAGTTGCAGAGAAGGTGCTGACCTATATTGGTTGACAGAGTTTTCTCATCCAGGGGTTTCCTATATCAGTGAAATCATAAGTCCAGTCCCTGTACTCTGCTATTTCAAAAAAAAAATTTAGCTGCATTTTTCACCTTGCCTAGGTAGTGTAGATCCTACACCCTGGTCTGGGCGTTATGCAGGTCCTTACCACTCCCCCCTCCATACTATCCCAGTTTTGGTAAAGTAACTAGGTGTCTTAGAATTAGAAGGTACCTAAGAGGTCATTAAGGCCAACACCTTTTTTTTTAAGGGGTTAAGTGACTTGCTCAGGGTCACACAGCTAATAAGTGTCAAGTGTTTGGTTTGAGGCCAGATTTGAACTTAGGTTCTTCTGACTTCAGGGCCAGTGCTCTATCCACTGCGCCACCTAGCTGCCCCCAACACCTTATTTTAGAGTTGAGGAAACTAAGCTGAAGTGGCTTGCCCAGGGTCATATAAGTTAGCAAGTATCAAAACTGGAACTTGACCTCAGGTTTATGACTACAAGACCACTTGCAGAAAGAAAGCTTTCTGCTATGCCACTCAGAGTTAGTTTCCTGTTTTTTAATCCTGTGTTCTTCCCACTCTAACAAACTGGTGCCTCCTTTTTCAAGCTTTTCTACCATGGACTACCTCCTCCTTTGAGCCAATCCCACACAGAGAAGTAGAGTTCAGTTTAACCAGATTTTTCTTCTCCGTTTCAGAAATGCTATCCTTGAAGCTGAGTTTTCAAAAAAGGGCTATAAACTTCCAACAGCTCGAAAAACAGGCACAACCATCGCTGGAGTGGTATACAAGGTAGGGGAAGAATTCCCAAGAATATCAAACTTTTGTTGATAGACTAGAATCTTAGAATTGTAAGACTTTACATTTCAGAGACTGTGATTCTGGTGAATAAAGGGTGCTCTAGGGAGCTTAACTGTATTTTAGCATCTTTGGTATCTTCCCCAGTATTTGTCACTTTATTGTGTACTTGCTGGGCCTTAAGTGAACACTTGCTGAATTGAAATATTGTAATTGGAATCATCTTGGGAAGTCATTTGGCTCCGTTGATGTTTGAATCCCTTTCACAATCATAGGATTTTAGAGTGGGAGCGGACTTGGTAAACTGTGTAATCCAACCCTCTCATTTTTATAGAAGAGAAAACTAAGCTCTAGAGAGATGGGTACCATGTCTAAGTCACAGAAGTGACAGAACTTGGGTTTGAACCCAGGTCCTCTGATTCTAATGTTATTTCTACTGTCCTTGACATGAATCCATTAAAAGTATAGCTTAGTAGAGAATTTTTTTTAAAGCATGATTGTAGATCTTTCACTGGGAAAGAATGCTGATTGCTAGTGATTTTTGTGTCTTTCATCCATGATTCATTCTTTTAACCATTCTCTTAATGTGCATATTGTATGTGTCCAATATGAATTTAAAATGTTTCTGTTTTCAACTCTTGATAGATTCATTATCCCTCTTTTATAGATCAATACATTGAAGTGTATAGAGCTAAAGTGACTTGCTCATGGTGACATAGCTACTAATTGTCAGAGCTATGATTCATATATGTGTTTTCTGACACTTAAATCCAGTATAATTTCCACTATGCCACATTGACTTAAGACAGACATTTCGTGGTATGTCTATGTGTTTATTAAGTAAGCTTGCCTTTTTTTCTTTTATAATAGGATGGCATAGTTCTTGGGGCAGATACAAGAGCAACAGAAGGAATGGTTGTTGCTGACAAGAACTGTTCAAAAATACATTTCATATCTCCTAATATCTAGTAAGTATTGATTGTTCATATTTATAATTTTTAATGCTTTGGTGTTTGGTTTTACTAATTTAAACTCTGTGGGTATGAAGATATTTATGGATCGTAAGATTTAGAACTGGAATAGACTTGAGAGATTATGTTGTTCCATTCTCCTTATTTTACAGATGAAGAAGGTAAGCCTTTTTGGTTAAGTGGCCAGTCACAAGTTATATTAAGCTGAAGTCTTTTTCTTCAAGTCCAGTGTTGTTTCCACCATGTATAAAGTCATTCAAATATAATACTCTTCTGAAGTTCCTTACAGCTGTCAATCTGTGATCCATGAAGATTCAGAAGATGTTCTGTTTTAAAGATCTTATAACTTTAAGAACATTAGTATGGAACCTTGGAACATAGAATGTCAGAATAGTAGTTCCTAGTCTGTGTGCCATAGAGTTACTGCAAGGAATCCTGGAATCCTAATATGGAACCTAGATCTAAGGTTTCTTTCCACCGTACTTGTAGTCTCTGAAAGCTGCAAAATGGTATTAGCCACTTCATATAGCCTCAGCATAATAAATAAAGAAATATATTTTCTCTGGATTGGGTAACTAATATGTTTCCAACATATGTATCACTCTTGCAAAAGGATGAAAGTTCTGTGGTTAATAAAATACATATTCACTTAAGTGTTATTGAGCTCATAATAGCTTTTTTGTTATGTATTTTCCTCATTCAGCAGATACTAATAGGACAGCTACTGCTACTCTGTGGAGTCAGTGAAATATTTTGACGTTTAGGAAGGTTCTTCATATTTGAAGAAGTTGGCAACTATGTTAGAACATAGAATATTAGGATTAGACGGGACCTTAGATATAGGATATTAGAAGAGAGAATGTAAAATGACAGAGCTGGACCTTAGAATAGAACACAGAATGTTAGAATATAGAATGTTAATGCTGACAGAGATCTTGGGACCTAGAATGTTTGAACTGAGATCATAAAATGCCTTCTGGAAGAGACAATAAAAATGATCCAGAGATGTCCAAGTTTTTCAATAGTGACCCACATATCCAGACTGCGTGAATTTATTATACTTATCTTCAGTGACAGTTCCTAATAATTGATCCAAACCTGCTAATATGACGTGTGGAGGCATTTAGTTACGTAGAGGAACAGTGAGCAAATGGTTAGGCCCTACCTACTTTAACTGCCTACCTTCTAGCTAATGAGGTTAACATTTTTTTGCTAAAAATATTTGGCAAACTGTACTCTAGGGTCAGATAAGCTGCAGACTGTGTGTTGGATTCTTGGGATCTAGTCAGTTCTTGCTTTTTCTTTTGAAAAAGCTGATGCCTATGTAGGTGCAGTGACTTGCTCAAGGCCACATGAAAAGTTAATGGGTGGAGCCAAAATGAAAACCTCCTCATCTCATTCCCGGGCTAGTGCTTTTCTCATTATACACAGAGAATTTTAGTATTTTATCTGTTGCTTTTAACAGCCTGTATTTTAAATCAAAGCAAGGGATAGATTGGATGAATTGGACTTGATGGTCTTAATGTCATAGCCCCACTTTTCTTTTTCTGTCTTTATGAAAGTTACCTAAGAAGTTTTCTATCTGACTGAATGTCTAGGTAATTGAATTTCTAAATTGCTAATGTATTTTCCAGTTGCTGTGGTGCTGGGACTGCAGCAGACACTGACATGACAACTCAGCTGATCTCTTCCAACTTGGAGCTCCATTCCCTTTCTACAGGACGCCTACCCAGAGTTGTTACAGCTAATCGAATGCTTAAACAGATGCTTTTTAGGTAACTTAATGACTTATTTTCATTGTAGTATTGCACTACTTAACTAGCTTTAAAAAAATCTTATAGTAAGTAATACACTTTGTGCTTAGAAGCATTTAGAGTTGAAAGGAAGTTTGAAATCATTTGGTCCAAACCTAGCGTTTTGCAGATGAGGCTAATTGAGCTCCGAGAGGTTGTGACTTGCCCAAGGTAGCATAGGTAGTAGGTAGTAGTGTTAGAATTCCAGCCTGTCTCTTAACTCCAAATCTAGAGCTCTTTCCATTATATACATCACTTTGCTTCTTAGATTTAGAGTTAGAAGGGGCATTAGCAGTAGTCTAGTCCAGACCTCTCATTTTACAGATGAGGAAACTGAGGCCAAGAGAGGTTATTATGTGCCCAAAGTTACATAGCCAGTAAGTTTCTTAAGTCATCTTTTATGAAATCCATTTAATCAATTCAGGGCATGACTTGCCTAAGTATTTGCCTAAGGTGACGCAGCTAATTAATAGAGCCAGATTAGAATCTAGGTCTTTTGGTGAACAGACCAATGCTCTGTTTGTGATACCATGTTGTCTTATCTGTCATTTAATGGGTTGGAGTAGTTTAAATTCAGAAACAAAAAGTATACGTTTTGACTATTTTGATAATACATTTGATTCTGTGAGTTGTTTTGTTTATTCATTTCCACTAACATTAAGTACTTATTGTGTATTGAGTACTGTAGTACCAGATATTTCCAGAAATACACAGTTAAGACAAGGTCCCTGTCCTCCTGAAGCTTACTGTTTGATACATTGATAACTATAACACAAAATGATACATTATATTAGAGCATATAATAATATATTAAGAGTTTAAAATGCCAAGGGAAGCTGGAGGCAGGGGAAGCAAACTTTTGAATACCTACTATGTATAAGGCCCAGTGGGAGACACTTGGGGGAAATTCATATAACGTGGCTGTTGATAAAGAGGAGCTTAGTTTATTCTGTAAGTCTAGTTTCACATTGTGAACCAGAAAATCTAAAACAGTATGATGACTGAGTTGGCTTTGATAGGTTTTTTTGTGTGTGTGTTTCTTCATTATGTCGAAATATATGTGTTACCTGCAATCCATTTGATTTATATCTATTTTCTTTTCTTGAGGGGGTTGTTAAACTTGAAAAAGCTTGCTACTTGAATGGAATCATGGAATTATAGGGCTGGCATGTACTTTAGAATATAGAATTTTAGAGCTGGAAGGAACTTCAAAATACTATTAAAATTGCAATATGCTCTAGAGATCATTTAGTCCAAGAGTTCTTAACTGTTTTTGTGTTATGGATTCCTTTGATAGTCTGATAGAACCTATGAATCCCTTTTCAAATTAATATTTTTAAATGCATAAAAATACATAACATTACAAAAGAAGCCAATTATTTTGAAATACAATTATCAAAATATCAAAAAACCCAAGTTCATAGACCCTTGGTTTAGAATCTAGTTAGATGCCCTGATTTTACATATGAGGAATCTGAAGCCTGTTGATTTACTCAAGGTCTCATAGTGAGTTAATAACAAAGCTAGGTCTCCTGTTTTCCAGTCTCATGCTTTTTTGCTATAACATATTGCCCTATTTGTCAGTTTATAGACATAGAATTCATTGAGTTCATAAACAGAAAGTATATAGCTCATTGTTACATCTTGGAAAAACATTGTGGAAAGACTGCTGGACTTCAAGAAGACATGGGTTTGAATGCTGCTTGCAATGCCTAGTAACTTGTGTAAGCTAGTGACTTAACCTCAGCTTCCTCATTTGTGAAGTAGGGATTATAATTATACTACTTGTAGTGCCTCTCTCATAGGATGGTTGTCAGGCTGAAAAAAGAGTCCATCAAGTGTTTCATAAACCTTAAAGTCTAATGTTAACTGTCACCTGTGAATATGATAGTTATTACCTAGTTATACCTAGATGTCTGATTTCTAAATAGTACCTCTTGTTTCTTCCCTCACATAGAATCTTCCGTCTAGGTTCTGTTCCAACCCCTCCTCGAAGCTTCTCCTTATTTCACACAGTTGTTATTGTTCTTTCTGTCTTCAGATTGACTTGTATTTACTTATCTGTGTACATATTCTATCACCAGTAGAATATAAGCTCCTTGAGCTCAGATCTTCTTGTTCTTCATCAGTACTTAGCATAACAAACACCTTACTCTAAGCAAATGCTTAACAAAAGTTTTTTGAATTGGATGGAGTTGAATTACATGGGCATAGCCAATGAATTGATAAGCATTCATTAAGTGCCAATTATATGCCTGGTGAGGTGCTATCTGGATATACAAAGATAAAACTACCCTTGTCCTTCAGGAACTCATATTCTACTGATATATGTTCACAGATGGATGTAACACTTGAGCTGAGCCATTAAGGCAGTGGTTCTAAAAAAGGGGAGGTGAAAAGGGCAAGCGTTTCTGGAATGGAGCATAATCTGTGTGGGAAGTGGGAGATGGAATGTGGGGAATTGTCTTTGGAGCATAGAATGTATAAAGGAGAATTATGTATTATAATAGCCTGAAAAGATAGGCTGAAGCCATATCATGAAAGGCTTTAAATGCCAGAGGAATTTATATTTTATCCTAGAGGTACTGGGAAGCCACTAAACAAATTTTAGGAAGGATACTAGCAAATTAGAACTCATCTAGAGAAGAGTGACCAGCAAGATAGTCAGTGGACTGGAAGACAGTACTATTTGGTGATGGGTTGAAGGAGCTGAGGATGTTCAGCTTAGGGGAAGAGAAGGCTGGGGAACCTGATAATTCTGTTCGTTTGGAAAATAGATTATACTTATTTTGCTCCTACAGAGGGCAGAACAGGAATAGTAAATAGAATTTTTGAGAGAGGCAGATTTTAATTTGGTGTAAGTAAAGTCTTCCCAACCATTAGAGCTGTCCAGAATTGGAGTGAATTAGCTCAGAAGTTGTGAAGATCTTATTGGAATGTTTCAGGTAGAGATTGAATGAACTTTGGAGAGAGAGGAAATTTTTTTTCAGTTATAGATTGACCTTTGAGGTCTTTTCAAGCTCAAAAATACTTTGCTTCTCTGAATGAATGAAAGAATATGTCTGGTTAACTTTCATTCAATTAAAAATGTCACAAAATTTGGCAAAGCAGGTTGATGGAAATTAAAGAAAAATTGCCAATTTTTATTTAAAATTCACAAGACTGTATGAGCTCCCTCTGGTGGCATATTAAATACGTCACAAAATTAAAATAGAATTCTTGTTAGGTAGGGGATAGTGAAAGCATTTAGAACTGGAAAGAATCTTAGACATCATCTAGTCTAACCTCTTTTTAAGAGAAGGGCAGTGACTTGCCTGAGCCCACACAGATAGTTTTCCAAGTGGGAATTTAAATCCCAAAACCGTAACTCAAAATCGAGTGCTCTTTCCATGGTACTAGACCAGGGGTGGGGAACCTGTAGCCTTGAGGCCACATGTGGCCCTCTAGGTCTTCAGGTGCAGCCTTTTGACCAAATCTAGACTTCACAGAACAAATCACCTTAATAAAAGGATTTGTTCTGTAAAACTTGGGCTGAGTCAAAAGGCCACACCCAAGGACCTAGAAGTAAACATATGTCCTTGAGGCTGTAGGTTCCTCATACCTGTTCTAGACCATTTGATCTGGAAGGGGACCACAGAAAAAGAGGACAGTCCAATTTCCTTTTATAGTTAAGGATACTTAGGCTCTAAAAGGCGAAGTGATTTGCCCAAGATTACATAGTGAGTATTATAAGAACCAGATCTAAAATTCTCATTTCTAGTCTTCTCATTCAGTGTTCTACATATTCTAAGACAACTAGAATATTATCAGATGAGTTACTGTACGTAAAGAGCTTTGTAAACCTTAAAAGGACGATATAAAAGTCAATTAAAATACTAGATATTATGTAGAACTATTAATTAGAAAAAAGTACAATGATTTTTCTTACTGATCTCCTTATATTATTTTAAAGCAGTTATGTCACCTTATATTTGTATACTATGTTACAATTTAAAAAGCCTTATGGAGGCAAGAGTAGCACTAGGTTCTCATAGGCTAAGCCAGGGGAGTATAAGCTTAGGTATGTTACCATATTGGAAAGGCTTCAAGTATTGTGCCAGTAACAACTTAGCTAGGAGTGGACAGACTTGTCTAAAGTAGGTTATTTGCTTGGCGATGAGTTAAATGGCCATGGCAACTGTTGAAAATAAATAAATGGTCTTTAGTCTTAATTGTTTTTACTATTTCAGTTTCACCCTGTTTTCAGTGTGACTAGTTTAGTGGTAGGAAAAAAAAAGGCTGCTAAGAGTCAGAGTTTTTGGACTGTTTATAAACATTAATTTAATCTTATGTACTCTAAATATGAGCTCTTTGTCCAGTGGATACCATTGGAAGAACTTAACTGTATCAATATTGGTAATTCTCTCACAATAAACAACAGAAGAGAGAAGGAAGTTGCAGTTAAAATGAAAGGATAGCTCAAGAGATTTTCCATAGGGAGACAAAGGAATTGGTTTCATCCCTAAAGGCAACAAGAAGCATTTATTTTTCTAAAAAAAATTAGATTTTAATTACTGTAAATTAAAACAAACACACAAAGCAAGAAATAAAAACTTTTGTGAAACCCTTTCTATTTAAATAAAGTAGAAAAAATGAATTAAGAAGCAAACAAAAATACCTTTGTTCTCTGTCTCCTTTTCGACATGACTGAAGTTCTACCACTTCTGGCCTTGTTCCTTCTTCCTCTCTCTCCCAGCATAATTGTAGTCTACATATATGCAGCTCTGGTTCTGCTGATTGTACATTTATCCTCATGAATATAGGTCTTTCCACATTTCCTTGTATGAGTAATTTTTTTATATCACAGTATTCTATTACATTATCATACAGCAGTTTATTCATCAGTTCTCAAGTTTTTTACATACAGGTTGCTCATCCATTTCCTGCTGTTACAAACAGAGTAGTTATGAATATTTTTGTGCACATAGGTCTTTTTTTCTTCC